TTTATATCATAATAATGTAACAAAATATTTATTCATGCTTTGGGGGGGTTGAGGCTTCTTTTAAATTGAACAATAAAAAGCAAATCAGAGTTTTATGTATTTTTTGCTCACTTTTTAAAAACTTAACCAAGGGTTGGGGTGTAGCTCAGTGGTGGAGCCTAGCATGCACAAGGCCCTGGGTTTGATCCCTAGCATAGTTCAAAACAAAACAAAACAAAACAAAAAACCAAGAGCACTTTAACAAGTAAAAGTAAAAACAGTTTCCCTTCTTACCAAAGGAAAAATTGGAAAATCCAGGACAGAAAAGTAGAGAAAGGTACAGAAAGATAAATAGGATCATGCAATTGCTATTATATGACATTATCATTAACTATTATTATTGGGTACTGTGTTCTAGAGTCTGTTGTAAGCATTTAAGACTGTAAAAATTCATTTAATACTTAGAAACACTATGCACACTGCTGTACCTATTTTATAGATGAAGAAACTGAAGCACAGATAGTTACATATAACTTGCCCAGTGTCTCATACTAGCAAGTGACAGAATCCGAATTACCAATTGCCAATGTTAATGTAAAACAACCATCTGCTTTAGGGATAGCTTCAGCTATCTTAATATAAAAATAGGAAATTTTGGGGGGAGAGGATGTTAAACAGAAAAACTTATTTTATCTCTAAATGTTTTGAAGAATCCCATTATGTAGTATACATCATAGACACTAAAAGCCATCTAGACCTCTAAAAAGCATGTTTGGCCATGAATTTCTCATTAGATGCTTTCCTTCTCCCACATCCACTCCCACTAGTTTTATGCAGCCCCTCCTTCACTCCTTCCCCCTCTTAACAAAATAATACAAATATCTGTTAAATGTATACCACTATAGCTAAGGGTCTGGACTTTAATTCAGGAAAGCAAAAAAGCAGAATCACTTTAAAATAAAGTCATGGCTTTTATGAATTTGTATTCTTGACCTCTTTGAAAATAGTGTTTAGTCTCTAAAACCGTCCCCAAACTCAGCTTCTGTAAAAGTTATACCATACTGATTCCCCAGCATATTTCATATAGGTCCTTATTCCTCTCCTCTGTCTTTTAACATGTGTTTTTCTCTTTGGTCCTTTAAATGAATCTTTCTTTTCCTTTTTTTCCCCCTAGCACAGGGGATAATGGATCTCTCTTAATGTCGGTTTACTTCTTGACCCCCATCCCCAAAAGTAAGTATTAGAGTCAAAAAAAACCTATTGGAGTCCTGATCGCTTATGCCTAAATTGCTTAATGACTGACCTGATTATGGTTTATTTTCTTCATTAAGATTAGAACTATAATAATTCAAAGGGCTAATGAAAGATATAATGAGCTAATGTAAAAATTCCTTGTAAATGCTCATAAAATATTTACTTCTACCTTTTCCCTCTTCATTCAATTCTTTTTCACAAGAAATTGTTGTCTACTCTTACAGATTAAACTATACTCTCTATAGGTAAAACTTCTAAATTTATAGCTTAAAAACCTCACTTATTTTTGAAGTGCTACAACCACATTTCTGCTGTGATATTCAGCTATTGCCTTGAACTCAATGTGCCTCCTCTCAAAATCAGCAGTCCTTCTAATCTATTCCTACTAATGAGGTCATCAATTCCCACTCTTAAATCTTATAATCAACTTTGCTAGACCTTTCATGTCCCTGGAGTCTATTAATAATAATTCAACCATTATTTATTTCTTCAAAATCTTTCTCTTTGTAACTTTTTTACTGCTACCATCTTAGTTTACCATTGCCTCAAAGGCCTTCTCAATCCACAGTATACTTTCATGAAAGTTCTACTAAAACTGATTTATTTACCATTTGAATTCATCTTGTATACTCTTGCTTCCAAATATTTACTCATGTCACTTTATCATTTCACTTTTTAATCCATTAAATATACTTTTCATACTTAAAAAAACATACAAATTTATAAAATATTAAAGTGTGATTTATCTGTCGAATTTGAGTAAATTATAACTTTTTCATAATCTTCTGGAGTGCCAGATAATTATTGTCATACCTTGTTATGTACTATTACCCAATTTTTTTTTTAACAACACAACTTTCCTTAGTTAGGAATATATGCTTTTTGGAATACTTACTTGTTCCATATGATTTTAGAGAGTTATATAAGGGGGTGGGGGGAGAGACTATTTAGCAAATAACATTTAGAGATGCCAGTTTAAACAGTTAAATAGGTTCCCTTATTGCAGAACTCCTTAGAGCTTTAGAAATGCTAAATTATTCGTTTCTCCATCATCATTCTCTGATATGAAGAATTCCTTCTCATCCCATTACAGCTTGAATCCATTCAAAGTTACTACTTCATTTGAACTATGTACACCTTCAAATCTTCCTCCAAAAAGGTACACATGCTTCTTTTATTTCATGATCTCTATTTTTAAAATAATACCCAGACCAGATGGTATAAGTCGTATGTCCTAAATTTGGCAATACATACAGGTAGGTAGTAGTATGTTGGGATATGCAAATTTATAGGAGAAAATGTGACACATTTTTCTGAAGAGTGAGTTTTCTTTAAATATTTTTTTGGGGAAACTTTTATGATACAATAAAAATAAAAAAGTCTTTTTTTTTTTTTAAGTGAGAACTTCCAGGTATTTCCAGGTTTATTTTTGGGTTCAACAACCTAACCCCTTTGTTAAGTCTACAAATTTCTCTGCCCTAAAGGTACTCCCAGAGAAAAGTCCAAGAAGCACTGATGTAGGCCAATCGAAAGAAAATATAGAAAAGGGGACCACTGCTAAGACAATAGTTCCTCTGTGCCAAGTGCTATACTTGAGTGCTTTACATATATTATCTTTCTTAATGCCTACCATGATACTATAAAAAGGCATAATTTCATGTATTTTATAGGAGACAAACTTCAGAAGAGTTAAGCTACAAAGCTTACAGTGGTAAAATATTTTATTATGTAACAGAGGGATAAAGAATATATATTTATCACTGAAGTTCTATGATTGATTTCCATAAGAAAAAAATAGCTAGGGCCCACTTTTTGAATTTATCACCAGTTTATTTCTTTTACTTTTAATGTAGAAATTGTCCAAAATGAGGTTCATACTTACTAGTAAAAACTTATTAGTAATATTAAATTCCCAGATATTCAGAGTGTTATCATGATCTAAGCTTTAGCCAATGAAAACTAGACTTTTAGATGTATAATTGTTACATATTATTTATTCACTAGCATATTTCCCACCAAATAAAAGTAATGCCTACTATCAACTAAGATTTATATGTTATTTATGTTACACGCATAATAGTTCAGAAAGTAAGCCTAAAGATGTCAAACTATTTTGAAATTAATACTTAATTTTTTTCACAGAATACCACCACTTAAATCTACGGCTTGGATCTTTGTATAACTGAAATAAACTAGATAGCTCTTACTTTAACAAAACCTAATACATGATATAGAGATTTATCTAATCAACTTAATATATTATCTTTCAGGAATACATGCACTGAGTAAAAATCCAAACATAAAAAAATATCAAAACACATGCCAAAGAAAAATAACTTGAAAAAGGAATAAATCTGCTTCTAAAAAAAAAAAAAAACTTGTTTAAAAGTGCCAAAATCAGTCTTTGCTATTATTAATAAGAATCATTGTTTCAGAGATAATAGGACAACATCCTTTGTAACACACACACACACACACACACACACACACTTTTAAGGATAATCAAAAAGGAGCATTAGCTTGTAATGTACACAGTTGTTAGATGTATGTAAATTTAAAAATCTATAATTTTAACTTGCAGGACTACAGTTAAAATGGGACTATTGAATTTAATTTGTTAATTACAGATGACAGAAGCAAGATCTTTTACTAATGATATGTATGACTGTGAGTATAAGTGATTAATATTTTTCATTATATTTTAATATATTAATTCATCCTATTTAAAGGCTTTCTAAACTGAACAAAGTCATAAGTACAGATTTATAGCCAAAGATCTCAAAAATGGAAGGAATAGAAGTTAAAAGATATAATGACAAAATAACAAAACTGTTTTCCCTCTAACTATAAATTAAAGAAATCTAATTATGTCTGTAAAGTAATTGCTCTCTGAATAACACACATTTAAGAAGAGCAACTCAGAGAGATAATAACAGAAAGAACAGGCCCAAGTGAAAATGTCTTTTTCTTTTTTCGAGGTGCTGAATAAATGTCTAAATATTTTAATTTTGAAAAATCAAGTTCCCATGTTTGGGACATTTCTAAGTTGTCATGGTTAGCTGAATAATTAAAAAGATAAAACAATTAAGAGCCAGAAAACAGACAGTCTGTTGAGAAATTCAATCTATAAATTCAGTTACTTTAAGTTGAAAATTACCAAATGATCTGCAAATATAAGTAAAAAAGGTAAATTACGAATTCAGCCTGAACTTAACTGGGAAAATAGACCCCCTACCCCCCGCAAAAACCCCATAATTAGAGAATAATATCAAGGTTTTTAAAAAAATCTTTAAACTATGCAAGAACATCCATTTATTTGTAAATATTCCAGTTAATGAAATAGGAAAAGATTTGATTAAGGAAGCATGTTTACAAAGTTCTGGGTTTCCATACTGTAATTTTTCTAAAAAGTATTTTATTTATAAGGATATTTCAATAGGAAGTAGGTCTATTCTGGAAACATAATCTTAGAAGAAAAGCAATCTGACCTTCATATTTATATTTAAAAACTGAGTTACTAAAACAGCTTTCATTGCAATGAATGTTCTCATCCTTTTAAATATGAAGCTATCTTTCAAGGTTTATAATACATATAAATACATAAAGAACACAAGCAAAAATTAAATAAATGTGTCTAATAACAGTTTCTTAATGACTTCCCTTAAAATGAAGTGTCAAATTTTCTTAGGCTGCATTTCTTCTACAAAGCTCAAAGTAGGCCTTTTAGCTTAAAATCCATGTAACACGCAAATACTCAGGATACTCACAGCCTTTCATTTTTCTTCCTCATTAGTCAATACTATGTAGTATTTCCTCTTTTCAGGCTTATTTACTGGTTATGTTGCTATCAGACCTGATATATCAGTAATGATCCACACTTCAAATCTTCTTCAGCTAGCTCTTCACACTGCCCAGAACTTACTGTGCATTACAGGTGACACTTCTTATAACAGATGTTGATTATGGTCCCAATGCACAAGAGGTGCTCCCAAAGGGGCTTAGAACCCCTAACAACATCACCTGCTTCTTTTTGTATCCAGAGAAGCACTGTGGTATTTGTTTTGAACAACTAATGATTTCAAGAAAGATTATACAGACGAGTTCTTTTCATTAGGTTTCTTGACAGAAGCTTATTTTTTTCAAAATACTGCAGCAAACAGAGACTGTATGATTCCTTTAGGGAAAAAATATACAATTTTTTTTTTTTCCTGTGGCGCAGTTTAATTTACTCTTCTGTTAGAGCAAATTGCTGAAGACCTGGTTCTTAGGTTTCTAATGGCGCAGCGTTAACAGAGTGAATGATTCACGGATGTTCTTCTTAACATTCAGAGTAACACGGAAAGCTAGCAGTGCAGCATAGGTCCAGAGCTGATGAATGGTGCAGTGCTGCTGTTGTCATAGCAACCAAGAGGGGAAAAGCAGCACCATATAAGGAACTGTGACATGGATTCTGGGAAGAATTTATATTAAAAAGCTGTAAGCTCCTCATGCCTTAAAGCTATAAACTATTCTCTTACTGATTTCTCCTCAGGTTTTACTGTTTTTAATTTCTGAATCTGTGCTGTGTGAATACGTATTGCAAAATACAGTAAATAAACACTAAAATAAAACTATATAGTGAGGGAATTTAAAAAATTAATCATACTTTAACAAGCTACTATGTGTCTGGAGTAGCTTCATAATATATTGGGTTAAATATTAAAATTAGTGATATTTTCTTGTATACTAAGGAACTGTTTAGAATTTGAGAGAGCAGATAATTTAATACTTATGTTAAAACTTATATACCTTTCATTCAGATGATATGCATCATATATACCAAAACTGCAGCATCAACAACTGGCTAATAAAGTAGCAATGATACAAATTTCAGAGAGGCATACTATCTCTAGATCCAGAACCATTCAAAAGACACTAACTTCACTGAAAATGTACATAATCTTCATTCATGATCAAAGAAATCTCTGCATCATACTCTGCATGATTCTCTGCATCATTCTACATCCCATGCTTCTTTTGAACTCCTCTCTCTATTGGGCCTGGAGAACTTTTTCTGGTCATAGTTTCTCCTCACCTTCCAGGAATCAAGAAGAGTTTCTTCTCTTTCAGTGGACAGCAGGAGAGCTTCCAAAAGAATTCATGGGAGAAGGAAGAGCTAGGGAAGGTGTCAATGCAATCGACTACTGTAATGGTGCTCTCTCTGCAGTATTATAGATATGGCTCTAAATTACTTGTTCAGAAATAAAATCTTTCATTAGACTCCTGAAGCATGGACCACTGGTGCTATATTATTTCATCTATTTACACAGGGCAATTCTCATGAACTTGTCCTATTTCGTAGCAGTGTGTATCTTTTCCATCGCAGCTTATTTAATGAAATATTCATAGACAAGATATAGCAAAAAAATAGATAAATTTATAACATTGCCCTCTTACATGGGCAGCAGTACCATACTACTACTACTAGTACTACTACTACTACTAATAATAATAATAATAATAATTCTAGTATAATTATGTATTTGTTGGTCAAGAGTTTTGATGCATGAATCTCCATAAATGATAAAAAAATTCAGTAAAATATGACTAAAAAGAACTGCAATGCAGTGAGAAGGATGTGCATTGGACTAGTCTTCTAACTGCAGTTGTAACAATAGCTTAACTGCTTACTAGACATAAACTTGGGTAAGTCACTGAAACTCACCAACCCTCAGATTATCAGTAAAGTAGAGGTAACAACATTTTCTACCTTCTTCCTAAAGCTATTTTGAGAATAAAATAAAATAATATGATGCAAAGACTTGAAATTCTAAAATACTGTGCTCACATTAAATACCTAATTAAGAAAAATAACAGATAAAAATGAGAAATGTATTTCAGAAGGAATCAATAGACACAGAAAATAGTCTGAAAGGTTAAATATTTTTCCAGACCCGTTTTTAATGCTTGGTTGGATATTTACTTTTTGTTCTCATCATATTTAACACATTTGTCACAACTAGCTTTCCCTTTTTACAATTACTGGCCAGATTTCTATTTCTACAGAGATGTTGTAGACGAGCGTTGCAGAATTATTTAAGATTATTCCAAAGCCCAACATGACTTATAAATGTCTTTAATAAATGGCAACAAAGAAGTACAAGTAATTTCTACAGAGAGGTAATGCTAAATAACATGCAAAGTGATAAAACTGCTTCAAATAATCTTTATGTTTTATCTCACCTAACTGAAACTGTAGGGTAAACATAAAAATAAACATTTTTGCTTGATTTAAAATTTTCATGGTCAGCAAACCTCAGTTCTTTGTTTCTTTAACAGTCTAATCTCTTCTATCAAATAACCTTTTAGGATCAAATATTGTCTTGCCCAAACAAGTTATTTTTGAGGAAAACTCTTTTCAGTTGTGGCTTTTGAGAACAGCAGTAACTCAATGCCTAGGAAAAAGAATGCAAGTTTTTCTTCTATAGCCCTACACCCAAATCATGGTGAGATGATCTAATCTATGCACTAAATGGATTTCAGGATAATTCTGAAAAACTGAAGACTTGAAAAACAAATCATTTTTCACTTAATTTTGTTTGTGCTCTGTAGGACCTGACTGGGATGAGGATATTGTTAAGAAAATTTAAAAGACAAAATATATGGGTTTAGTTTTGTTTGAAATTAGGTTTAACTTAAAATAAGGGTAGAGAGAGATTTGAGGAGCTAACCTATTCCCTTGGCTACTAATTTTTAATTCCCTTATGATTAATTTATACATATTATAAAACTTAGATTAAGTTTTTTTTTGTTTTGTTTTTATTCTCCTTCCAGCCTTCACCCATTATAAGCTTTCTTTAAAGAGTATTCAGCAGTGATAAATGTTTTAGTGCTTAAAGGAGGGTAATTCTTATCATGAGAGGAATATGTGAATTTTCTATTCTTATAGAAGTAAAAAAATAAATGTCCCACTTGTTATGTCAATTCAAGTACTGGCCAGATTTTTATGTGGGTTTGTGCCTTTTCTATGAATAGCTCTAGATCAGGACTTCAACTTGCAACAGTAGATTGATGATTAAGAGGGAAGAAAAAGAAAAATGCTCAGGGGTAGAACATTTGACTGGTGAGTGTGTGTGAAGCTCTCACCAAGGAAGAAAGGAAGGAAGGTATAAAGGATGGATGAAAGAAAAATCTGTATTTTAAAAATCATATAATGTAGCCCTTATATATAAGCCAACTACTTCAACTGGTGGTCAATAAAAGAGTAAAATCTTTATACCTCTGAAGGACAAAGTGGCGGGACTGTACATATTGAGAAGTAGTACTTCTGTTTAATGAATGCCATGACTGATATTTAAGAGATTTCTTAAGATAATTCTCATCATACTCATTATTCACTCTGTGCATCAACTTAACTAAGACCTGAATAAAATTTCCCCAAATGTGTGATGCTACCTCTAACTTATAATACAACATTTGAAAAAGATTATTATGTGGCAGGTGGCTCCTTCAGAATGGTTTTACTGATAAGTATGGAATAAAAGGGCTTATTGTGCTATAAGATACACGTATCAAATTTTTCATTCACTTCATTTACATCATTAAATCAATCTGCACTTGTAAATTTTACTAAATATTTACATAGATATATATACAACTTTTTTAAAAATCACTTTCTCTTCCATTAGGTGCAGGGTCTCTGGTTTAATTCCAGTTCCATGATCCACTTTGAGTTGAGTTTTGTGTACTGTGAAAGATAGGGGCTTAATTTCATTGCTGCATAAGGATTTCCAGTTCTGCCAGCACCATTTGTTGAAGAGGCTATCTTTTCTCCAATGTATGTTTTTGGTGCCTTTGTCTAGTATGAGATAACTGTATTTATGTGGGTTTGTCTCTGTGTCCTCTATTCTGTACCACTGGTCTACAAGTCTATTTTGGTGCCAATATCATGCTGCTTTTATTACTATTGCTCTGTAGTATAGTTTAAGGTCTGGTATAGTGATGCCACCTGCTTAATTGAAATGCATTCTGCTGTCATGTGTAACAAATTAGAATAAATAAATTTTTAAAAAATCATTTTCAGGAACAAAAACGAAGACTTCAATCAGAAAAGGGAAAACATGGATGGATGTTCAACCAACTTTGGTATAACTCAGAACACTGTTCATTATGTTGTCTGGACAAAATCATCAATAGACTATTAATATCACATAGACAATTCCAAAATGACCATATTTCTAACTTTTTTGAAATTCAGCTAATAACATGAAATAATGACTGACATTCATGATAGGAATGGTATATTCATAAACATAAAGACCAACTAAAATGAAAATGTCTTGTGGAACACTCTGCCTTCTGGTGCTTAAAATTCTTATCAGACAGGGAGTATTCTATCATGCTATGTGTTATTACTTTTATTGGCCTAGGATATAACAATTTAGGTCCATAATTTTCTTTCATGAGAAAAAAATATGGTCTAGCAATTTATAAAAATTTCAATTTTTATAATATTAACATATATATTCTTTGTTCAGTTTTATATAATCCCGTAAGTTATATAAATATAACTTACTTCCTTTTTAAAGAGTCACTAAGGATTTCTTTTGAATTGTGGACATTTACTTGCCTTTGTGACTGGAAAGTATTCTCACTGGATAGCATTACTCTTTACATTTAATATTTGATACTTTTTAAACTACTCAAATTACATAGGAGGGAGCAGGAAAGGATAGGGTCAATTAAGCATAAAACTAAGTGTTCCTAGGAACTGTGGCATAAAATCATAGTGAGTTTTCTTTTATTTTTTCCTTATTTTTTGGTGCCAGGATTGAACCCAGGGGTGCTTAGCCATGGAGCCACATCACCAGCCCTTTTTCTATATTTTTATTTTAGAGACAGGATCTCACTAAGTTGTTTAGTAACTCTCTAAGCTGCTGAGGCTGGCTTTAAACTTGTGACCCTCCTGCCTCAGCTGCCCAAGCTGTTGAAACTACAGGCATGCACCACAGCATCTAGCTCCTAGTGAATATTCAGGGGAAGATAACAAAGTAGCATGGACAATGAGGAATTTTTTCCCTCTATAATCTTCATAGAATTTTTTCCCCTATATCTTCCATGTTTTTAATTAAAAGTGATATCCAGGCTGGGCTATGGCTTAGCAGTAGGGCACTTGCCTGGCATGTGTGAGCCACTGGGTTTGGTTCTCAGTACTGTATATAAATAAATAAAATAAAGGTCTATCAACAATTAAAAAAAATTAAAGTGATATTCGTTTCTTGGAATCACTGCACAATAGTTAAAAAGGATATAAGAGATTATTTGATTGAGTGATGGCCAACTTTTCTAGCTGGTAAGATTCCTTTTATTATATCCTACTTCTCCACTTTCTCCCATGGACTTACATTTTAAAAGATTTTAAATGTGTTTATTAATTTATTAATTTTTCATTGATTTGGAGTTTCAGATAAAATTAATTGATCACAGTAAGGTGATATAATGTTGTGCAAAGCAAAATAAAGTAGTCTGTAATTTTATCTTTTAGGCTTTTAAAAAATATTGACAATTGCATGCAGCATAGGTCATCAAATGTTATAAAGCTTTATGGTGATAAAGGTAATGCTATTTAAAAAAATTAGCCACTGCCAAGTCATATTTAAGTGTTTGTCATAATGTGTACTAGGTGAGCAATTACCCACTGGTGATCCAACCCTAATGTTTAGGGTCTGTTTAGGTCTTCATTTCATGACTGCTACATATGTTTATCTTATGAAGCTTCCTTCTCTGCCTCAGAACCTAGCTATCCCCAATTTGACCCTTTACTGGCCACATCTCTAAAAGGAATGCTGGACAAAGTCAATTCTATACTTCAGATTTTAAGCAAGCAGATTTCCTTTAAAATTATATAGAAAATCAACTATGGTCAATGGTTAGTAATTTTAAAAGGGAAAATGGCTTAAGAGTACTGACTAAAAATAAAAAGGAATTTATACACTCACAAACATCTGGAAGCATCTAAAGAAATAAATATGGCCATACCAGGAATTTTACTACTATAAGTAGCAGTAGTAAATAAAAATAGTATTTTGGGGGTGCTGGGGATAGAACCCTGGGCCTTACGCATGTTAAGCAGACATTCTACCAACTGAGCTATATCCCTAAGTCCTGATGTAAGCAGATTTATGTTAAAAAAAAAAAAAAGAAATATAAATATGCTGAGAGCCATAGCCAAGTAGGAATGACACATGGCATTTTTGGGTTGAAAGGTGACCCTGCTCAGGGATTAGGGCGGCTCCAGGTTTAGGGTGGATCCTGCTGGAATAGGGCGGCTCCAGGTTTAGGGCAGATCGTGCTGGGATTAGGGCATATCCTGCTGCCTCAGGCGTCGGTTCCTTGAGTTCCTGTTGAGTTCTCACGGGGTTCTGAGAGAATTGGTACGCAGAGCCCCGTGGAGGGAGTGTATTTTTTCCCAGAACATGCTTGTAGAGTGTCGATGAGAGTTTGGGAATAAAGAGTTGCTGTTGGAATCTACAAGTTTTTGTGGTGGCTTGGTTATTTTGTGCCCAGACAGACTTCGGCATTTGGTGGCCCGTGCAGGGAATGTCTGAAGCTTGGAGGTAAGTGAAATTGGTCACCCCTGAGGGAAGGTGAGAGCATGGGTGACCATTTCAAAAAACAATGTGTTCTTGTTTTATTTTGTTTTTGTTTCAAGCTGCCTATCCCTAGAACTTTCTCAGGCAAACTGGGAAAAATGGTTGGCTCAAGGTTTGAAGTTGTTCGGCCCTGAGGAAGAAAAAATTGATACAACGATTTTTTATTCCGTTTTTGTTTCATTCTGTTTCGGTTTTGTTTTGTGTTATCTTGTTGGGTTGCGTTATCTTTATAGTAGATTAGAAATTAGTAAAAAACAAACTGAAAGAGTGTTAAGTAAATTGTTAGAGGTCCAGACTATCGTAGAAAACATGTTAGATCAAGCAAAAGAGAAGGTCTTTCCAGCTAGTCAGATAGAGGAAGGAAATTTAAAGGAAAAAAGCTTAGAGGAGAAACAGATATCAGGGGGGAAGCTACAACATCAGGCTGCTACTAACTCCGTTCTATCACCAGAGGGCATAATTCAACCATCAGCTCCACCTATAGAAACAGCTGAGTAGATGGAATCCTGAGACAGGACCTCAAAGATTAGCATGCCCTGTACTTGAGCAGGCAGGAGGGCAGCGATTTCACCGTGCTTTAGATTTCAAAACAGTGAAGCAATTAAAGGAGGCTGTAACAACCTATGGTCCACAGGCACCCTTCACTGTAAGCATGGTCGAATCCATAATCAACTTGGAGGTGACGCCAGCAGATTGGGCTAATGTGTAAATCTGTGCTAAATGGAGGACAATATTTGTTATGGAAGGTTGCCAATGAGGAATTTTGCACGGAGACAGCTAGGCGAAATGCAACAGCCAGTTACTCTCAAAGAAATCTAGATATGTTGTTACGAAAAGGACCTTATGAGGGTCAACGGCAACAAATTGAAAATGATCCTGCTATATATGCACAAATTGCTGCAGACGCAGTTAGGGCATGGAAGACTTTACAAGGACTTGGAGATTTACAAGGCCAGTTATCTAAGGTAATACAGAGAGCTAATGAACCTTATGCTGAATTTGTAGATAGGCTTATTCAAATAGCTGCCAGAGTTTTTGGGGATACAGAACAAGCAATGCCATTAATAAAACAACCGGCTTATGACCAAGCAAATCGTTACTGCAGAGAGGTCATTAGACCATGGAAACATGAACATTTAAACACATATATCAAATTATGTAGAGACATTAATGAACAAGGGCAAGTCTTAGCAGCTGTAGTACAACAGGCTTTAGATGCCAGGCCAAAAACATGCTACAATTGTGAACAAACAGGACATTTTAAAAGAAATTGCCCCATAGGAAAAGGGTTTAACAAAACTAGGTATCAAAGGAATAGAATACCGGGTATTTGCCCACGATGCCATAGAGGGAGACATTGGGCTAATGAATGCCATTCTCAAACCACCATAGAGGGTACTCCCTTATCAAAAAACGGACAAGGACAAGGTATTTACCCACGATATCGTGGAGAAAGGCATCAGGCTCCATTGCCAAAAAACGGACTGGGGGTCCCAATGCTCCGGGGCCCACAACCACAAATATACAGGGCAGTGAAGGAACCCATCAACACCATCAGTGTAGTGCCCAGGACACATTGTCCATTAAATCCCTCATCAGACAAACCAGAGGGAGCGCAGGGTTGGACATCTGCGCCTCCGCCAGAGCAGTACTAACTCCAGAGATGGGAGTTCAAATCATTCCCACAGGAGTAAAAGGACCTCTTCCCCAAGGAACAGTAGGCTTATTATTGGGATGCAGTTCTTCTACACTAAAAGGACTTATGATAAGTCCTGGGGTAATTGATCCCGATTATGTAGGTGAAATAAAAACTATAGCTAGGTCTCTAAGAGGTATATCAGTAATTTCACCAGGAGATAGAATAGCACAGTTATTAATAATATCCAGCCTGCATGATAAATTTTCCAGTCGTAGTGTAGAAAGAGGTTCCAGGGGATTAGGCTCCACAGGTGTAGATTGGGCTATGCTGTCTTTAAATTTAGATTCTCGCCCAATGCTAAAACTAAATATTCAAGGACATGAATTTAATGGACTACTGGACACAGGTGCTGACCTTAGCATCATATCTCGTCAAGAATGGCCAAAACATTGGCCATTATAACAAGCCACTCAAACGCTTCGAGGCCTAGGAGTGGCGACTAATCCCCATAGAAGTGCAATGGTATTAGATTGGAAGGATCCTGAAGGATGTGAAGGAACTATATAGCCATATGTATTGGATCATCTTCCTATAAATTTATGGGGACAAGATGTCCTAGATCAATTAGGTTTGACGTTATCAAATAACATCAATCCTAATGCGCCCACTACTAGGGCTAGACAAGGTTTTAGGAAAGAAAAAAGATTAGGAGAACAAGAACAAGGTACAGCAGCACCAATTCAAATAGATCAAGGAATAAATAGACATGGATTGGGTTTTCAGAAGGGGCCACTGAGACAATCAAAATTACTTGGAAATCAGAAAGACCAGTATGGGTTCCTCAGTGGCCCCTGACTAAAGAAAAGATACAAGTAGCCCATGACCTGGTCAAACAACAATTAGCAGAGGAACATATACAACCTTCCGTATCTCCCCATAATACTCCCATTTTTGTCATCAAAAAGAAATCTGGTAAATGGAGATTATTGCAAGATTTAAGAGCCATTAATAATGAGATGGTTATTATGGGACCTGCTCAATCAGGGATTCCTCAATTGTCTGCTTTGCCAAAAACCTGGTATGTTTTAGCTATAGATATTAAGGATTGTTTTTTTTTTTCAATTCCAATTCATCCTGAGGATAGTCCATGTTTTGCATTTACTATCCCTGCACTGAATCATGAAGGTCCTGATCAGAGATATGAATGGAAAGTACTCCCTCAAGGGATGGCTAACAGCCCAACTATGTGCTAAATTTATGTTAACAAAGCAATCCACCCACTTAGAAATAAAAATCCTGAACTACAAATATTTCACTATATGGATGATGTATTACTAGCACATAAAGATAAAAACACATTGTTAGAATGTTATGCCACACTTACAAATTTATTAAAAAATTATAAACTAGAGATAGCAATAGATAAAGTACAATTAAATTTTCCAATTAATTATTTAGGAGTTCTATTATCCTCAACCATGGTCCGTCCACCAAAAATTCAAATACGAGTAGATCAACTCAAATCACTTAATGACTTTCAAAAGTTATTGGGAGACATAAATTGGATAAGGCCTTATCTAGGCATACCAACAGGAGAGTTGGGACCTTTTTTGATATCCTAAAAGGTCCATCAGATCCAAATTCACCCCGCATGAGCTCATACATACCTATGTTAATGTTTTTCTGATCAGTTTTATTTTTTGACTGTGGAGTTTTTAATCATTGCAAAGGAGATTTCACCTGTGTAAAGCAACAAGGCCTTTACTATTGTCTTATGTGTTGTATGTTTGTGTGCACACTTGTGTTTTGTGTTGTATATCTGTATGTGCGTATGTCCATATATCATATATGAGGAGCACTCATGAAAAAATGGATCCGAATTTTTTTTTTATTCACGTGATTTTAATGGTTTAATTTAAATTGGGTAAACAGCTGTTGAGGATTAATTTATTTTCAATACACAATAGAACGTCTTGAACTCCAATATGTTTCTAAAAATTGTAAAGTATGGAAAAAATATTAACACATCATGGGTATACTAACACGTATCAGTTCAGGCAAAAAAACACTAAGTATAGGCCCTTTTTAATGGCAAAAGAGCTTTACAATGATTCTTCCAGGATGTCCCTGAAATGAATAAATGTTTCCATTTAATTCATGACAAAAACAATACTTTAGCCATAACTAGTTCCTGAGTATGTGGACAGCACAATCAAATCAGCCATTATGACTTATTTACCATCCAAAGTGATTTGCACATTGTACTTTCAATCCATTGGCATCAAATACTCTAAAGATCAGGGCAAAAACAATTTTTACCCAGAGATTAGATAATAATCTATTTGATATTAATATTTAAAGCTTATTACTCAGAAAAGTAAAGAGACTTTCTCTTAAGGGACTTAAGTTCTTCAAAAAATTTAAGTTACTTGAAGGCCACCATCCAAAAGCTCAGAACATATACTTGACATAGCTGACAGAAACTCAATTCCCAAATCTCCTTAGGACCTATAACTGCAGGGACCATTTTGACTATTTACTCTATGTCAGACACTGTCTTATGAGCTTTTCATGTACTCACTCATCTGATTTTCTTATTGATTCTATGAAGTTATTATTAATAATAGTAACTTCATAGAAGTTAATCTAATTACACAAGTTAATCTTATTAACCAAGATAAAAATGAGAAGAAAAGTAACATTTAGTCATAGTTGATTATATGTTAGGTTGTATATAATATTAGTCTTATTTTTAGAAACAAAAATATTTGAGACTTTAAGAAAATTAGAGCAATATGTCAAAGTTACAAAATTTGTTATGTGACATGAGATTTTTTATTTTACCTAGTAAAAATGAAAATATCTAAAAAGATTATACAACTAAATGTATATCATCCCGTTCCCTTCTGAGAGTTATTATCTCTCTATACTGCTACCAA